TTTTTTTTTTTTTGAGACAAAGTCTTGCTCTTGTCCCCCAGGCTGCAGTGCAATGGTGTAATCTCAGCTCACTGCAACCTCTGCCTCCCGGGTTCAAGCCATTCTTCTGCCTCAGCCTCCTGAAGAGCTGGAATTATAGGCGCCTACCACCACGCCAGCTAATTTCTGTATTTTTAGTAGAGACGGGGTTTTACCATGTTGGCCAGGCTGGTCTTGAACTCCTGACCTCAGGTGATCTGCCCGCCTTTGTCTCACAAAGTACTGGGATTAAAGGTGTGAACCACCGCACTCAGCCAAGAAATCTTACAGAAGGTTGGGTGCGCAGGGTGGCTTACGCCTGTAATCCCAGCACTTGGTGAGGCTGAGGCGGGTGAATCACCTAAGGTCAGGAGTTTGAGACCAGCCTGGCCAACATGGTGAAACCCTGTCTCTACTAAAAATACAAAACTTAGCCGGGTGTGGTGCCAGGCACCTGTAATCCCCGCTACTCAGGAGGCTGAGGCGAGAGAATCCCTTGAACCCAGGAAGTGGAGGTTACAGTGAGCCAAGATTGCGCCATTGCACTCCAGCCTGGGCAACAAGAGTGAAAACTCTATTTCAAAAAAGAAAAGAAATCTTATAGAAAAAGCCAAAGGGCTGTCCTGCCTTTGACAATGATGGAAAATACTATAATACATTAATCAATGTAATAGCCACTATCGTCTTTATCATCTTTAAAATAATGTTAACTTTTCTTCAAAAACTACATTACACATTGAGTGAATTCCAGACTTCTGGCAACATTTGATCCAATGATCCTAAGGAAAGGATACAATAAAACTGCTGAATAAAATAGAAGTGATGCTAAAAAACTCCAAAGAGCATCCAGGCATTTCTCTTACCATGCAGATTACAGAGATAGTCCCGCATTTTCATGACCATCTGGGACCTCAGTCGCAGGTTATACTGCATTTGGAAACTACGCAAGTCTAAGTAGCGATACTGCAACCGAAGAGCCTCTGTTTTCTAAAGAAAGTGAAAGATTTTTATATTTAAATATTTTTGAATATTAGAAAGGTATTATCTTTAGAAACAGAGTTTGAATTTTCAAAAACTTTAGCTCTGCCTTTAGTTTCCATCATTAAGTAGCTCACTGTATGCCCTTTCCATTTGTGTATATAATAACATCCTTAATTCCTACAACTTCTAAGTTTGTCATTAGTGCAGATTTACATTTTTTACTATTCATTATTATTAACATTACTCTTCACTGACTGAAATTTACCTACTTTACCAAACACGTATCCATTAATTTAAATCCATGGTTGAGTCTTGAAAAAAAATTTAAAGATTTTGAAGATCTCTCAAAAAAAAAAAAACCACAGCACCACATGCTGTATCTGGGCATAGTGGCATGTGCCTATAATTCCAGCTACTTGGGATGCTGAGGTGGGAGGATCACTTGAGCCCAGGAGTGTGAGGCCAGCCTGGGCAACATAGCAAGATCCCATCTCCTTAAAAAAAAAAAAAAAAAAAAGATACACCAGAGTAGAAGATTCACCTGAATGGGATGCTGACTACAAGTGTAAAGAATGCAAGGGGACAGTGGTTAGAATCTCCATGGCTGTACTAGTAGAAACAGTTTGCTTATTTTAAGGCTGTAAATCTCTGCAACCCTCTTTGAGCTGAAAACTTTAGAAATGTCTATAACTTCTCTTTTTGAATGATTATCTGGGGAAAACTGTGTATTTTCTTTTTTACAATAGGTCAACTGTATAATTACATTGCTCTTTCTAATTAGAGAATTAAGTATTGGGAACTTAAATGTAAGACTAACTGGCCATGAAGTGAATTTAAAAATCCCTTAATAGGTCAGTTTAAAAATTAGGAATATATAAGTCTATAAACTGCGACAAGGCTGAAAATCATATGAGTGTATAGCTCCAACAACCCCTTAAACTTTGGAAAGAACATCCTAAATTATAGCAATCCTATTTATATTTATATGCTTGGGAAGTCAAGAGTTGCTCTAAGCATACATTTTATCACCTAATAGGTATAGGATCCCTATGCCATTTGGCCATTTCTAAGCTAGACATAAATTTCCTTTCAAATGTTAAACAATGGCAACAAAAAATCTTAAGTAATATAACACCTCAAGTCTTAAAGAGAGAATCACATTTTAATCTGTCTGAAAAAACAGTCTAGGTATTTAGGGACTGCAACAGTTTAATGAACTGGCACTATTTCCCAGCAGTTTGTCAAGAAATCATAGAACTAAGAGAATGATTTATAGTATGTCTACAATAAAATGTTTAATTTTGTAGAAGTTAAACTTTTCTTTAAAAAAACTCGGAAAATACTTGACTAGTCATCAACATTTTCTAGATACTCTATTAATAACAGAGCATGGTACCTTCATGAAGTCCTTAATTTCAAAGGGCAGCTTCTTGCAGGCATTCAGAAGCTCAGCTGTTTTGACTTTGATTTCAATCTCACCTGTTGGCATTTTCTTAGAGAGTGAGAGAGAAGTGTTTTAAAAATTACTCATCAAGACACATGCAAAACACATTTGTAGAACATATGCATTTATTTACATATGTAATATGTGCAAAGTCCTTATAGTGCATAAAGTATAAAACATACATGTCTGTGCAAGATTTTGACATTCTTATGCATATCTGTGGCTGGTGTGCTCAGGTATCACCAAATGTCAGGACACATCCTTGTAGTTTGATACTTGGGAAACTGAGACAAGAGAAACGCTTAAGCCCAGAAGTTCAAGACCAGCCTGGGCAATACAGCAAGACACCTGTCTCAAAAAAAAAAAACAAAAACAAAAAAAAAACAAGTCTTAGCATGCATATTTATATAGATGTGTATGTTTGTAGTAAAGATTTTGAAATCTGTAGGTTCATTTGTAGATTTAAACTTTAGTGCCTAATGTCCAATAGGTGCTCAGTCTGTGCTGCCTGAATGTGTACACAGACAGTGAAAATGCTACAAGCAAAATTTACATAGATATTTTCTAAACTACTTACTGGATTCTCTTGTCCTGCAGGACGGGAAATGACTGTACCAGACACTTGCACCACAGATTCCATAGGGGCTTCACATAAAATCTTCCTCACAGAGGCTGCCGACTACACAACAAGGGGTGAAAAGAGTTCCAAGAGACATATGAACTTACAGGAATGTTAAGTAATTGTAAGTCTATGGTTTAAAAAAAATTAATAGTCATAGCTTAATTACCATAAAGACTGGGGCTGCCCCTTAATGACTTTATTACTGAATTTAGTAAAAACTGCATCCCCATTTTGACTCTATATAATGCAGCAAGTAAAACTATTAGTTAAGAACTTTAAAAAAAACTTTACAGCCAGGCATGGTGGCTCACGTTTGTAATCTCAGCACTTTGGGGGGCCGAGGCAGGTGGATCACCTGAGGTCAGGAGTTCGAGCCCAGCCTGACCAACACAGAGAAACCCTGTCTCTCCTAAAAATACAAAAAATTAGCCAGGTGTGGTGGTGCATTTGCATAATCCCAGCTACTTGGGGGGCTGAGGCAGGAGAATCATTTGAACCTGGAAGGCGGAGGTTGCGGTGAGCCGAGATCGCACTATTGCACCCCAGCCTGGGCAACAAGAGCTAAACTCCATCTCAAAAAAAAAAAAAAAAAAACTTTTCTTAAAGGAAAATAAGGAGAAGAATGACCATTATTAATGCAAACAAGTCCCACATACTTGAAAAGTAATTGTCTCCAGGATTAGTCTTAGGGGCAGTTAAATCCAATAGCAATAATGGGTCAAAGTCAAAGGAGTTCTTCAGCTATACTCATCTCTGGATGCTGATCCTAAAACATAATTCATTGCTCTTTACTCATTTCAAAACTTAAGAGCTGAATAAATAATATTTTTCTTAGGCATGCAAGCATTAAGTAAAAATTACAATAGAACCCAACTTTGCCCAATAAGTTTGATAGAAGTTCTTTTTTTATCTAATTCTTTAATTTCTTTTTTTTTTTTTTTTTTTTTTTTTTGAGACAGGGTATCACTCTGGTTGCCCAGGCTGGAGTGCAGTGGTTTGATTTTGGCTCACTTCAGTCTCTACCTCCTGGGCTCAGGTAATTCTCCCAACTCAGCCTCCCAAGTAGCTGGGACTACAGGTGCACGCCACCACGTCCAACTAATTTTTTGTATTTTTAGCAGAAATGAGGTTTCACTATGTTGCCCAGGCAGGTCTTGAACTCCTGCATGAAAGCAATCTGCTGGCCTTGGCCTCCCAGATTGCTGGGATTACAGATGTGAGCCACCATGCCTGGCCTTGAATTTTTTAATTAAAAAAAAATTTTCTTCAGAATATCACTGTGTCATATTTTATCTAATTTTGATGGTAATTAAATTAAATACTTTTCTGAGCAGGTAGTACCTTCACATGGCTTCAAATTCAAAGGGTGCAAAAAGACATAGTGAAAAGTTTCCCTCTTATCCTTGTCTTCAAGGCCCTCAGTTCCTTCCCCAGGAAGCACTCAATGTTACCAGATACTGAGGTATCCTTCCAGAGACATTTCATAACATATATACAAGCAAATACACACACACAGACACACACAGACACAGACACACATACATTTTGAATATATATTCTGCTTCCTTCCCCTATTTGTTATATAGATGACAGCACTTAGAGTGCTGGAGTTTAACAGCTGCTCTTCTGTGTACTCAAGAATAGAAGGTTCTTCACTTAACAGTATTCCTTGGATTTTTTTCTCCCTATTAGAATAGAACTTCTTCATTTTTTTTGGTATGGCTGAGAAGAGTATCCTATTGTAAGAATATACATTATTTTTTAAGTCAGTCTTTTATTGGAGGACATCTAGGTTGTTCCCAAATTTTTTCTATTAAAAAGAATCCTGAAGTGAATATCCTTGTACATATGTTGCTTTGCATCTGTATAAGTCTAGGTATAAGATAATTTACTGGCTGGGTGCAGTGGCTTATGCCTGTAATCCCAGGAGGCTAAGGCAGGTGAATCATGAGGTCAAGAGATCATGACCATCCTGGCCAACATGGAGAAACTCCATCTCTACTAAAAATACAAAAATTAGCTGGGCGTGGTGGCACGTGCCTATAGTCCCAGCTACTTGGGGGGCTGAGGCAGAGGTTGCAGTGAGCAGAGATTGTGCCTCTGCACTCCAGCCTGGCAACAGAGTGAGCCTGCGTCTCAAAAAAAAAAAGATAATTTACCAGAAGTGGAATTATTGGCTCAAAAGATATATGCATTTATAGTTTTGATATTACCAAATTGCGCTCCCCTTAGCTAGTGCCAATCTGTACTCCCTCCAGGAACTGAACACCTGCTTTCCCAAACACAGTGTGTTGTCAATCTAATGTGTTAAAAATGACAATTACATGCAGTTTTAATTCGTATTTATCTACCTATGAGTGAGGCTGGGCATACTTTCATTATTGTCTACAAGCCTTTTATGTATTTTTTCCTCTAAATTTTTTGTTAATATCCTGGGTTCATAATTACTATTTTTTTGTTTTTTTTTTCCTCACTGAGAAACCTGGGTTCATAATTCTACTGAGTCACTGGTCTTTTTGCCATGTCTTAATATTGCTTATGATATTTTGCAGTTTTCATTAACAATAAACTTCTGAATATAAAACATCAAACATATTAATTTAACTACTTAGCTTACCCTAGCCACAGCATCAAAGAGGCTTAGATAATGACAGGAAATTTTCTATTACCTCATCCTGGGGAATGATAACTTGAACAAGCCCATGGAAATCTCTTAGGACCAAGAATGTGTTTTGCCTGATTAATGGAAAGAAAAAAAGGAATATTTAAAGATAAAATCTCTAAGCCTAAAGTTTAAGCACACAAAACAAATAACAAAAATCCATGCAATTTCTCATGTTTCTTTTTAATGATTATTATTTTTTTTTTTTGAGACGGAGTTTCACTCTGCCCAGGCTGGAGTGCAGTGGTGCAATCTCACCTCCCTGCAACCTCTGCCTCCCAGGTTCAAGCAATTCTCCTGCCTCAGCCTCCAGAGTAGCTGGGATTATAGGCACGCGACACCATGCCCAGCTAATTTTTTATATTTTTAGTAAAGACAGGGTTCCACCATGTTGTCCAGGTGTCTCGAACTCCTAACCTCGTGATCTGCCCGCCTTGGCCTCCCTAAGTGCTGGAATTACAGGCATGAGCCACTGTGCCCGGCCTGATACTTATGTACTTTCATTAGTTACATTTCATGCAATTATCTATGTAGCTCATTGATGAAAAATGATTGTTTTTTATTTTTTTCAATTTTTATTGTCTACTTATATGGCTTATTAATCTTATACAGATGGCTTATTAATGAAAAAGTATTATAGATTGAAAATTAAAAAAAATTTTTCATTGGCTTAAGTCCTTGTAAGAAAATTTTATTAAATTTGGAAATTTTGCATATAGTAAAATCCAAAGATAGTATTTTTAGGATAATAGAAGCATCTGATGGATCATTTTTAAAATGCAGCAATATAAAGTCCTTTTCTAATAAAAGATACAATCTAAAATTTTCTGGAAGAGCTCCAACTGCTAATTTAATATCTCTCTATGAATCATCAAAAGGTCCCAGAAATGCTAACATTTTAACATCCAACCTCTATTTCTCATACTGTCCTCAGTAGCAGGAACAGGTACAGAAAGCCTCTTCAGATCTGGGTTCAGAAAACGAAGTCACTAAAGTTATGGGGTAAATATATCCACCTACTTCAGACATATTCTATTTTTTTTTTTTTTTTTTTTTTTGAGATGCTCTGTAGCCCAGGCTGGAGTGCAGTGGTGTGATCTCTGCTCACTGAAACCTTTGCCTCCCAGGTTCAAGCAATTCCCTGCCTCAGCCTCCTGAGTATCTGGATTATAGGCGCCCGCCACCACACCGGGCTAATTTTTGTATTTTTAGAAGAGACAGGGTTTCACCATCTTGGCCAGACTGGTCTTGAACTGCTGACCTTGTGATCCACTTGCCTTGGTCTCCCAAACTGCTGGGATTACAGGCGTGAGCCACTGTGCCTGGCCGGGACATATTCTTTAAGAAGATCATATAACCTATGTATCTTGGATCTCGTCTATGTTAATTAATGTACTATTCAGGTATGTTCTGGAATAGAGAGATGAACAACAACAAAAAATGGGCTCTGATCTTAAGGAATCACTGTTTATGTTTCTAGGCTTGCTCTCTACCTAAATTGAATAAAATGAGCTTTTGCCCCATGCTATTGGAGTTTAACAGCTGGTTTATAGGAGGCTGGCCTATTTTTAATTACTGGTCATAGGAACTCTTCAGTCTTAGTAAGCCCAGTGTCATTTCAGTCCACTGGTGGATCAAGCTTCATTGTTATACCCTTCAATAGATGTTACTGGTGCCTACTAAGAATGACACTCTGTCACCTGGGTCTTTCAAAAACTAAAACAAAGTTGAAAATTCAGTAAGTTCTTAATCCTGCAGGAGTTGCAAAATGTTTTATTCTTCGGACTGGTTGTAAATTAGTAAACGTTTGGAATTGCCCTGGGGAAACAACCACTATGCATTCTTAGACTGTCTTCCCCAATTTACCTTCGGTACTGAATCCATCCACACAAGGTGACTTCTTGGCCTAAGTGAGATGAACGCAGCTCTCCACATGTGTTGGTCCGGACAACAAAGCTACTGAATTCTTTAAAAAAAAGAAAAGAAAAGAAAAGAAGCTTTAAAAGGCAAGATTAAAAATACATCACTTGCAGGTTGTTTAAAAATAAAAATTCTCAAAATACATCTTAGGTAAGTTAGGGAAACAGGTGAAATTTATAAAATAAGTCAGAGTATGTAATTTAATTCACTCACTATTAAATTTACCTGCAAATGTGTCAAAAGCCAAGTGAATAACTGAATGTAAATTTCTGTCTTGTGTTAGGAAATCTAAATTCTTTGGATCATCTAGCATTTGCATTGATTTAAATCCTAATTACCCAATTCTTGGTATTTACATTTCTTCTCCAAATGAAATAGGATTTTAGAAACTGCAGAAATGGATGGTGCAGGAACTATTTAGTTTTAGTATGAATCCAGCGTTTAACAGCCACTTGTACACTAGAACACTATTATAATTCTGTGAAAAAGGATTTTTTAAGGCATCAACCAAAAGCTGAGTATTCTACATATTACGTAGTTACCTGTTTGTGGTCTTTCTAAAAACTCAAGGAAAAAAAACCCTGCATTATAATGAATGAAGAGAGTGAACGATCTGCTTCTACACATAAGGCTATCCAGTTAAGAATTGGAATGAAATAAAAGCTCCCTGGCCGTAGATAACAGACTGAAGTACTGTTCATAGAACAGATCTCTTCGCTATTTTCACCTGGATTTCTCCTCTGTGAACTCAGCACCAGACTTCTGGAGAGAGAACCCCAGATGGGTTGGGTGGTCCTTCTAATAGGTCTGGATAAACCCCTGTACAGCTGACTTAACCAAGAAGGCAAGTACATGTTGGAGCCACAGGATGGCGAAAAACAGTCACGAATCCCACGCTGTCGGTAGTTAAAAGTCGGTTTTGGAGATACAGAAATCCCTTAAAATTCCAGGAGTTCCCACTCTCTTCTCGAATATTTAAGTCCTCCTCCGCACAACATTCGAGTACACGTCTCTAGAAGCAAGACAAATCTGCAAGTTATTTGGGGCCCTTGATGGGGTGAAGATAAGGGAAAGACCTTCCCCCGAGTCTTAAAGCATCAGTTTCCACTTCTATTCAACAAGTCGACAGCCAAAAGTGACAAGACAGCGACTCCACGTAGCAGGGCCAGGCGCGAGCCCAAGACAACCCAGAGGCTGTCACGAGGCCCACGCCCTTCCTTTCTTTCTACGCTTCCCGACAGGCTCCCGCGGCCAGAACCGGGAAACAAGGAAGAATAGTCGCGCGTTTCAAATTTCGCAGACCTACTGTCCGATCTTGAGCCTTCTGAAAGAGGAAGGCGAACAAAGCCAAAATGCTAAATGCTCCTAGGGCCGGAACTCATACACAGATCACCGCTGAGGTCCAAGCGCCCTTCCAACGGCGAGCTAATGCAGAGGATTACGGGGAAGGAATTCAACGAATCAGTGCTGAGGTGCCGCCGCCATGCTTACTATGGGCGGAAATTTGAGAGAAAGCTTCGCACCAGTAGAAAAACTGACAAGCAGCCGAGCAGAATTGGAAAAGTTGGCGATAGACGTTAAGTTGCTGGGCCTTGCCCTCAGTTAAAATGGCAACTTTAGTTGCTTCACTATTACGGAATAGGCGGGGCGCCAAGGAGGCTTCCTGCGTGGGGCCGCAGAGCTAGTCGGGAAACTATTTTAAACGGTCGAGGCGGCGGAGGGCCGAATTGCCGTTTCTCCATGGCGTGTTTTCGGAGCTGGCCTGGGCTGTGACAGGCTTATCCGGAGAGGGACGGGTTGGGACGCACTGTCCTTTTGCCCTTCCCCCTCTGCGAGCAGAAGCTGACTCCACTGGAGCGAGGGTCGCAGAGCTGGGTGAGCGGAAATGTCCCTCACAGAGTGAAGTCGCAAGGCCCACCCTGCGTCTGTGGGAGCGGAGGTCTTCCTGGGCGCGGTTGTGTCTCTGGTGAACTCACTTGCTGTGGAGCGAGAGGGAGTTTGGGAGAGCCAGGGATTACTCTGGCATCTCCCTTAGCTGTCATTTTGGCGGTTTTTTTTGGTTTGTTTTTTGTTTTTTTCTCCTTCAGGGGATTTCAGTCTCGACATAGTTTTGTAGCCGGATTTTGAAGAATGATTCGTGAATCCCGAATGGGTGACAGCGTCATTACGGCATTTTATTGGTAAAGATGCTTTGTATTGGTCTAGGAGCTGCTTTAAACTTTGTATTTGCCCTGTTGTGTGGTCATTATCTTCACAATACTTGTGTGTTGAGATGTGTTTACACACTACGTGCTTAACACCCGGCTAAGTATTGGCACTGGGGCGGTTGGATTTAGATATTGGTGGCAATGTAGAAAAGTGATCAAGTCAGAGCCCTTTCACGGACTAACCACAAGAGAAACAAGAAAGGTTTACTTGTGTGCTTCCACAACTGCAAGTGGAATTGGCAAGAGAACTAGCTCTGCCAAGCTCTGGAAAACTCCTGATGAGATGGCACTTGGAAAATGGATAATATGTGGTCACACAAATGGGAGTAGGGAAGTGTTTTTAATTAGCGATAAGGTGAATAAAAAGGGAGGAGGAGCAGTAGGGTAATCATCTGTCTAGAGTGGGGTGTGCATGTTTGGGTATAGGGCAGTGATTCTTAACCTTTTTTTTTTTTTTTTTGAGACGGAGTTTCACTCATGTTACCCAGGCTGGAGTGCAATGGCGCGATCTCGGCTCACCGCAACCTCCGCCTCTGGGTTCAGGCAATTCTCCTGCCTCAACCTCCTGAGTAGCTGGGATTACAGGCACGCACCACCATGCCCAGCTAATTTTTTGTATTTTTAGTAGAGACGGGGTTTCAGCATGTTGACCAGGATGGTCTCGATCTCTTGACCTCGTGATCCACCCGCCTCGGCCTCCCAAAGTGCTGGGATTACAGGCTTGAGCCACTGCGCCCGGCCTCTTAACCTTTTAAATAATTGTCTATTGGAACTTTCTTCACTCCCACTGCCCGCCCCTGCCCCCCCCCCAAACCTCCTAGTGTTGTATACAAAAACCTTAGGGGGATTGTATGCAGTATGCTGGATTTTGGAAAGTCTAATATCCGTGGATCTTGGGGTAAGAACTGAAGTAGTAGAAAATGAACCTAGATAAGAACAGATACAGTAGTGCCTTGAAAGCCAGACGGAGGAATTCTGATTCAACTTCATATAGACGTGTGGGAACTGTTAGGGCGTCTCAAGCAAGGTAATGATAAGATAAAAGTGGTGACTATGGAAAGACTGATGATGAATTAGTGAAAGGGGCTAAAATTGGGAACAAGATAAGTAGCTATAATTGAGAATGAAAGTGAAGCCCACATCTAAGAGGACAAGTATATCTTTTAAAGAAATATGTCAGAGGCCAGGCGTGGTGGCTCATGCCTGTAATCCTAGCATTTTGGGAGTCCAAGGCAGGTGGATCACCTGAGGTCAGGAGTTCAAGACCAGCCTGGCCAACATGGTGAAACCCCATCTCTACTAAAAAATAAAAAAATTAGCCGGGCGTGGTGGTACACACCTGTAGTACCAGCTACTCAGGAGGCTGAGGCAGGAGAATTGCTTGAACCTGGGAGGTGGAGGTTGCAGTGAGCCAAGATTGTGTGCCACTGTACTGTAACCTGGGCGACAGAGTGAGAATCTGCCTCCCTCCCCCCCAAAAAAAAAGAAAAAGAAAAAATATATGTGAATTTGATGATAAAGTTAATAAAGTTAGCTTTTAGATGTAAAGGTGATGTTGAAGAGTAAAAGATGATGAAAGTTTTTTTTAGTGAGGGAAGAAAATGAAAAGGAAGAATGGAATTATTACTGAGCAAAACAGTGTATAGTAGTTGGCAAAAAAAAAAAAAAGTTTATGAGAAATCCCATTTCAGGTTCAGATGATTCACCAGATAAGAAAAAAAAAAAAAAAAAAAAAGAAAGAAAAAAGAAAAAGGTTTATGAGATGTGAAGTGATGATTAATTTTGAACTTAATGAGCCCAACAACATGAAAGTTTAACATCTTACAGGAAATTGGAAATGCAGGACTGGTATGCAGCTGTAATGGTCTGAAGACAGAGATTTAGGGGTCGTCATATACAATGATTATTTTCCTATGTAGAATGAATGATTTTCACTGTCTGGGGCCACCCACTATTGGAATATGAGGAAAAAAAAGAATCAGCAAATGAACTGGAACTATAAAATGTAAGGAGGAGAAAAGCCCCCTAAAAAATGGAATGCCAGAAGAAACAAGGTAACAGAAAGTTTAGAGGAGTAAGGGTGAACAAACTTGATGAACAAAGTATTTTTGGTTTTGGCAAAAACAGTGATCTTCAAAAGTGAGTTTTTTTTGTTTTGTTTTTTGAAATGGAATTTCTTGTTGCCCAGGCTGGAGTGCAATGGTGCCATCTTGGCTCACTGCAACCTCTGCCTCCCGGCTTCAAGCGATTCTCTTGCTTCAGCCTACCGAGTAGCTGGGATTACAGGCACCCGCCACCATGCCTACCTAATTTTTGTATTTTTAGTAGAGACGGGGTTTCACAATGTTGGCCAGGCTGGTCTTGACCTCCTGACCTCAGGTGATCCTTGAAATATTTATTAGTAACTGGAGGCAATAGGTGTAGATCACATTTCCAGGAGATTGGTCTCAGAAGGAATTAGATAAATTGGATTTAAACAGTTTTATTTTATTATACTTTAAGTTCTGGGGTACATGTGCAGAATGAAGAGTTTGTTACATAGGTATACATGTGCCATGGTAGTTTGCTGCATTCATCACCTTGTCATCTACATTAGGTATTTATCCTAATGCTATCCCTCCTCTATCCCCCACTCCCTGCTATCCCTCCTCTAGACCCCCACCCGGACAGGCCCTGGTGTGTGATGTTCCCCTTGTAAGCTGCAACTTATGAGTGAGAACATGCGGTGTTTGGTTTTCTGTTCTTGGGTCAGTTTGCTGAGAATGATGGTTTCCAGCTTTATTCGTGTTCCTGCAAAGGACATGAACTCGTCCTTTTTTATGGATGCGTAGTATTCCATGGTGTATATTGGCCACATTTTCTTTATCCAGTCTATCATTGATGGGCATTTGGGTTGGTTCCAAAGTCTTTGCTATTGTGAAAAGTGCCATAATAAACATATGTGTGCATGTGTCTTTATAATAGAATGATTTATAACACTTTTGGTATATACCCAATAATGGGGTTGCTGGGTCAAGTGGTATTTCTATTTCTAGATCCTTAAGGAATTGCCACATTGTTTTCCACAGTGGTTGAACTAATTGACACTCCCACCAACAGTGTAAAAGTGTTCCTAATTCTCCACATCCTCTCTAGCATCTGTTGTCTCCTACTGTTTTAATGATTGCCATTCTGACTGGTAGGTGATGGTATCTCGATATGGTTTTGATTTGCGTTTCTCTAATGATCAATGATGATGAGCTTTTTTTCATATGTTTGTTGGCTGCATAAATGTCTTCTTTTTTTTTTTTTTTTTTTTTTTTTTGGGACGGAGTTTCGCTCTTTTTACCCAGGCTGGAGTGCAATGGCACGATCTCGGCTCACCGCAACCTCCGCCTCCTGGGTTCAGGCAATTCTCCTGCCTCAGCCTCCTGAGTAGCTGGGATTACAGGCACATGCCACCATGCCCAGCTAATTTTTTGCATTTTTAGTAGAGACGGGGTTTCACCGTGCTGACCAGGATGGTCTCGATCTCTTGACCTCGTGATCCACCCGCCTCGGCCTCCCAAAGTGCTGGGATTACAGGCTTGAGCCACCGCGCCCGGCCAAATGTCTTCTTTTGAGAAGTATCTGTTCATATCTTTCGCCCACTTTTTGATGTTTTTTTTTTTCTTGTAAATTTGTTTAAGTTCTTCATAGATTCTGGATGTTAGCCCTTTATCAGATGAGTAGATTGCAAAAATTTTTTCTCATTCTCTTGGTTGCCAGTTTACTCTAATGATAGTTTCTTTTGCTGTGCAGAAGCTCTTTAGTTTAATTAGATCCCATTTTTCTATTTCGCCTTTTGTTGCCATTGCTTTTTGTGTTTTAGTCATGAAGTCCTTGCCCATGCCTATGTCCTGAATGATATTGCCTAGGTTTTCTTCTAGAGTTTTTATGGTGTTAGGTCTTATGTTTAAATCTTTAATCCATCTGGAATTAATTTTTGTATAAGGCGTGAGGAAGAGATCCAGTTTCAGCTTTCTGCATATGGCTAGCCAGTTTTCCCAATGCCGTTTATTAAATAGGGAATCCTTTTCCCATTGCTTGTTTTTGTCAGGTTTGTCAAAGATCAGATGGTTGTAGATGTATGGCGTTATTTCTGAGGCCTCTGTCTTGTTCTGTTGGTTGACATCTCTGTTTTGGTACCAGTACCATGCCGTTTTGATTACTGTAGACTTGTAGTATAGTTTGAAGTCAGGTAGCGTAATGCCTCCAGCTTTGTTCTTTTTCCTTAGGATTGTTTTGGCCATGCGGGCTCTTTTTTGGTTCCCTATGAAATTTAAGGTGTTTTTTTCCAATTCTGTGAAGAAATTGGTAGATTGATGGGGATAGCATTGAATCTGTAAATTACTTTGGGCAGTATGGCCATTTTTATGATATTGATTCTTCTTAACCATGAGCATGAAATGTTTTTCCATCTGTTTGTGTCCTCTCTTATTTCCTAGAGCAATGGTTTGCGGTTCTCCTTGAAGAGGTTCGTCACATCCTTTGTTAGTTGTATTCCTAGGTATTTTATTCTCTTTGTAGCAATTTTGAATGGGAGTTCACTCATGATTGGCTCTCTTTGTCTGTTATTGGTGTATAGGAATGCTTGTGATTTTTGCACATTGATTTTGCTGAAGTTGCTTATCATCTTAAGGAGATTTGGGGCTGAGATGATGGGGTCTTCTAAATATACAATCATGTTGTCTGCAGGTAGAGACAATTTGAGTTTCTCTTTTTCCTAACTGAATACCCTTTATTTCTTTTTCTTGCCTGATTGCCCTGGCCAGAACTTCCAATATTATGTTGAATAGGAGTGGTGAGAGAGGGCATCCTTGTCTTGTGCCAGTTTTCAAAGGGAATGCTTCCAGTTTTTGCCCATTCAGTATGAGATTGGCTGTGGGTTTGTCATAAATAGCTCTTATTATTTTGAGATATGTTCCATCAATAACTAGTTTATTGAGAGCTTTTAGCATAAAGGGCTGTTGAATTTTTTCAAGACCTTCTCTGCATCTATTGAGATAATCTTGTGGTTTTTATCTTTGATTCTGTTTATGTGATGCTTTACATATATAGATTTGTGTATGTTGAACCAGCCTTGCATCCCAGAGATGAAGCCGACTTGATCGTGATGAATAAGCTTTTTGATGTGCTGTTGGATTCAGTTTGCCAGTATTTTATTGAGGATTTTCACATCAATGTTCATCACAGATTTTGACCTGAAATTATCTTTTTTAGTTGTGTCTCTGCCAGGTTTTGGTATCAGGATGATGTTGGTCTTATAAAATGAGTTAGGGAGGATTCTCTCTTTTTTGTATTGTTTGGAATAGTTTCAGAAGGAATGGTACCAGCTCCTCTTTGTACCTCTGGGAGAATTGGCTGTGAATGCGTGTGTCCTGGACTTCTTTTGATTGGTAGGCTGTTAATTGCTGCCGCAATTTCAGACCTTGTTATCAGTTTGTTCAGGGATTTGACTTCTTCCTGGTTTAGTCTTGGGAGGGTGTAAGTGTCCAGGAATTTATCCATTTCTCCTAGATTGACTGGTTTATTTGCATACAGGTATTTATAGTATTCTCTGATGGTAGTTTGTATTTCTGTGGGATTGGTGGTGATATCCCCTTTATCATTTTTTGTTGCATCTATTTGATTTTCTCTTTCTTCTTTATTAGTCTGGCTAGCGGTCTATGTATTTTGTTGATCTTTCCAAAAACCAGCTCCTGGATTCATTGATTTTTTTTTTTTTTTTTGAAGGGTCTTTTGTAAACACAAATTTTTAATGTTAGAAATACTAGAATATGCTTGGCGGTGGAAGAAAAGGATCCTGTGGAGGAGTGATTAGAGGTAATAGAGAGGTGAAGTACAGCCTGGTGTGGTGGTGCACACCTGTAGTCTCAGCTACTCAAGAGGCTGATGTGGGAGGATTGCTTAAGCCCAGGAGGTCGAGACTGCAGTGAGAGTGGGCCACTGCATGCCAGCCTGGACAACAGAGTGAGACCCTGCTTCAAGAAAACAGAGCTGAAGTACATATAGGAGATGGTGTCCAGGGGAGATACAAGTAAGAGGACCTCTTTCTTTCCGATTAGAAGGAATAGTATTGGGACAATAACATATTGAGTTAAGATATATTTATAACCTCTTGATTATTGTGCTGGGCAAAAGTACACATTCTTGAGTGTAAGTTGAGAAGGCAAAATAAGTATAAATCATTTACTAATCTTTAATTCATGGATTGGGCTATTTTATTTTACCTTAACATTTAATACTCAATGGATATGTTTTCTCAAAACCATCCCTCTTAGTGGTAATAGTCTTTTTCTCACCTAGATTTATTGCTAGATTTTGTAAAGTCACCTAGACTTTAAAATGTTTTTGGAAATCATAGCATTTCTCTTTATGGAGTCAAATTCAGCAGGGCTTATGTTGCCTCATAATTGATCCCTATTTAAAAGGCGTGTGAAACAACATGTAGTTAAGTGCACTCATTGCAGAGTTAGAGTGTCTGAATTCAGATCCTGGCTCTTCTACTCCAACTGGTTGACTTTGGCAAGCTACTTAATTTCTGCGACTTTCTATTTGTCAGCTGGGAGTATGATCTACTTCATGGGGTTGTTTGAGGATTAAATGAGAAAATATTTATAAAGGGCTTAGAAGAGTACCTGAAACATGATGAATGCTCAATAAGTGTTAGTGATTATTGTACCAAGTCACAAATTTGAGGGAAACATTCTGTGTAAGTAGGACTGATTAAAATTATCTTTGAAATAGGTAATTCAATATGCATTTAAAGCTAGGATGCTTTAGAGTAGCTGTTATTTAAATTGTGTGGTGGCTGGTCCGATGGTAGTGGGTTATCAGAACTTAATTAACAGTGTCACTAAAGTTGGTATACAACCCCCCACTGCTAAATTTGACTGGCAAAAAAAAAAAAAAATTGTGTGGTGTCTGGTGTAGTGCATTCACCACCACAGTCAAGGTACAGTTCCATCACCACAAGGAATTCTTGTGTTGCCTTCTTATAGTCACATTTATGCCCCTCCTACCCTCTTCCCCATCCCTAATCCCTGTCAGCCACTCATCTGTTCTTCATTCCTTTAATTTTGTCATTTAAAAATGTTGTATCTGTGAAATTTTAGAATATGTGATCTTTTTGGCTTGGCTTTACCATCCAAGTTGTTGCATGTATCAATAATTTGTTTCTTTTCATTGCTGAGTATTGTTACACGGTGTGGATGTACCACAGTTTATTTAATCATTCGCACACTGAGTTGTTTTCAGTTTTTGGCTATTATGAATAAAGCTACTATGGACATTTGTAAAAACAAATTGTGTGGTATATGAACTTGCTCTGGACATTATTTGAACTTTAAGGACAAATAATGCTACATATTTAGTTTATGTATTTATTTATTTATTAGAGAGGGTCTTACTCTGTTGCCCAGGCTAAAGTGCAAAGCTCAGCAGGTTCTAACTCCTGGGCTCAAGCTGTCCTCCTGCCTCTGCCTCTGGAGTGGCCAGGTTAAATCTTTTTTTTTTGTTTGTTTTAAGAGATGGGGTCTTGCTATGTTGTCTATGCTAGGATTACATGTTTAATTTATAGAGTTTTGTGCAAGATATAAAGAGTATCCTAGTCTGACATACTGAAATGGAAGATACAGGTTGAGCATCCCTAATTAGAAAATCTGAAGTCTGAAATGCCCTATAACCTGAAACTTTTTGAGTGCCAACATGTTGCTGGAAGGAAATGTTCACTGGAGCATTTTGGATTTCAGATTTTCCGATTAAGGATGCTTGACCAGAGTAATACAAATATTCCAAAATCTGTGAAAATCTAAAATCCAAAAACGTTTCTGGTCCCAAGCATTTCAGATAAGGGATGCTCAACCTGTACTATTTTAAATATAATAGTATTTAAATATAGGTCAGGCGCAGTGGCTTACATCTGTAATCCCAACACTTTGGGAGGCTGAGGCAGGTGGATCATCTGAGGTCAGGAGTTCGAGACCAGCCTAGCCAACATAGTGAAATCCCGTCTCTACTAAAAAAAAAAACAACAACAACAACAACAAATCAGCTGGGTGGGTGTGGTGGCAGGTGCCTGTAATCTCAGCTAATTTGGAGGCCGAGGCAGGAACCTGGGAGGCCGAGGTTGCAGTAAGCTGAGATCATGCCATTACACTCCAGCCTGGGCTAACAACAGCAAGACTCCGCCTCAAAATACATAAATAAATACAGTAATGTAACTTTATTTATAAAAAACTTTTCAAAAGGGTAACTGTGTAGTAGTTGAGACTAGTCATAACTTTTAAATGATAATTCCTTTTGATGCAAATTGTATTTTAATTTTGTGTTTCTTTTTTTTCTTGAGAAGGTCTGTAATTCAGTGGCATGATCACAGCTCACTGCAGCCTTGACCTCCTGGGCTCATGCAACCCACTACTTCAGCCTCCTGAGTAGCTGGGACCACAGGCATGCACCACCACACCTGGCTGGTTATTTTTTATTTTTTGTAGAGATAGAGTCTCACAGGGTTGTTCAGGCTGACCCCAGACTCCTGGGCTCAAGTGATTCACCTGCCTCAGCTTCCCAAAGTGTTGGGATTACAGTCATGAGCTACCATGCCTGGCCCTAATTTTGAAGTTGTATGAAATAACTTCCGTTTAATTGAACCAATACTTGTTTCAACAATTAAAGGGCATGCAGCATTGTATTTGGGTAATTAAACAAGAGAAATATAAAGCATGGTTTCAGTGAAAGTAGGTTAGTTTTACTGGGGATACAAGAAATGCACACTAAAAAATGGTACAAGGAAGTATATAAACGGGCTAAAATGAGTGGTACAGACTGGGTGATTGAGGAAAGCTATGTATACTGGTATATCTCCAAGGATTTTGTAGAACATTTTTGAGGGATTTTTTTAGACTTATTTAGAGATGAGAGCTCATTAAGCATACACACACACGCACACTCTGCTTCCAGAAATGAGCTACTAATAACAGGTAACAGATATGTCATAACCTATGTATTTCATAGGTATTTCAGGACCAAGAGGTTAAAAAAAACCCTGGTTTGAAAGGAGGTCAAATTTCTAGCATGGTCTTAAAGGCGGTGAGATGGGAAAAGGACACTTAAGATAGGGAATACAGTTGAGAAGCAAACCCCTGAAGATAAGAATATGTTTATGTCGTAGGTTGGAGAGAAGAATTATGAGGATAAGGAGAAGCTTAATTAGAGACCCAAAATACCCAGCAGAAGAGTTTAGGATTTGTCTTGTTACTGTAAAGGTTTTTGCTCAGATAAAAATAAAGTGCTATTTCTGGAAGAATGGATTACTCTTACATATGGAGAATTCTTAGTTGTGGCTAAGGAATTAGCTTTGTGAAAGGATGACAGATTCTTGAAAGAAAAACTCAGTAGAATGTGCTTAATGACTGTATGTTAAAGAATGAAGGAGGGGACTATATGAATTTAAGTTAGGAAGTTGACAAGAATTTGAAAATGGATCAGTAAGCTTTTGGAAGAAGGAGGAAAAGGAGTTTGAATTTAGTTTTGAACACATTTGTGTTTGAGGTATCTGTAAGATATTCATAAAAGTGGGCTCTAGTCAATGAGTTTGTGTTTCTTTTTTTTCTTAAAAGGGTCTTGTCCTGTCTGTCACCCAGGCCAGAATTGAGTGGCATGATGACAACTCACTGCAGCCTTGACTTTCTGGGCTCATGCAATCTTTCTACTTCAGCCTCTTGGTTTAAAAGTCAAAACTGGGGATAGGGAAGGGAAAAGAAAGAAGGAAAGAGAAAGGATTCCTTTATAGCGAGGAGACGAATCAGTGAAACTGTGAGCATGAATTAACTTTTTAGTGCTTAGAATTCTGGTTTTATTTCTTCTTTTGTAGACAGACCATGGATTCTTATGATGCATCAGAATCAACTCCTAGACAAAGTACATCCTTAAGGCCTGAAGATTACTTTATAGGTGCCACTTTTCTGCAGAAACGATTAGAATCAGTTAGGAAGCAGACTTCATTTATCCCGACTCCACCTCGAAGGAAAATTCCCCATTGCTCACAGTTACAGGTATGCTTTTTGTGTTCCTTTGTGTTAGTCAATAATTGAGAGTATCTGTGAACAAAACATTTCAATTTTTCTAACTATAGTATTCTTAGTATCTTCTTAACCCTTCAGCTAATAAAATAAATGAGAAGCAAAGAAACAATTTCATAACTATCACTGCTACCTCTTTTATGTCTTTTATTTTTTATATTTTTATTTATTTACTTATTTTTAAAGTAATTTTCAAACATAGAACCCATATATACCAGGAGTTTTTATGTGCTTTAACTTCCTTTAATCGGAATCATGTCCACACTATTCTTTTTTTTAACTTTAAGTTTAGGGTTGTATGTGCAGGATGTGCAGGTTTGTTACATAGGTAAATGTGTGTCATGGGGGTTGGTTGTACAGATTATTTCATCACCCAGGTGTTCAGCTTAGTATCTGTTAGTTATTTTTCCTGCTTCTCTCCCTCCTCCCACCCTCCACCCCTGATAGGCCTCAGTGCGTGTTGTTCCCCTCTATACGTCCATGTGTTCTCATCATTTAGCTCCCACTTATAAGTGAGAACATGTGGTATTTGGTTTTCTGTTCCTTTGCTAGTTGGCTAAGGATAATGGCCTCCAGCTCCATCCATGTCCCTGCAAAGGATATGATCTCATTCATTTTTATGGCTGCATAATATTCCATGGTGTATATGTACCACATTTTCTTTATCTAGTCTGTCACTGATGGGCATTTAGGTTGATTCCATGTCTTTGGTATTGTGAATAGTGCTGCAGTGAGTATACACATGCATGTAGACTGATTTATATTCCTTTGGGTGTATACCCAGTAATGGGATTGGTGAGTCAGATAATATTTCTGTCTCTAGGCCTTTGAGGAATTGCCACACAGTCTTCCACAATGGTTGAACTAATTCACACTCTAACCATCAGTGTATAAGCATTCCTTTTTCTCCACAACCTCACCAGCATCTGTTATTTTTTGACTTTTTATTTTTCTCCACAACCTTGCCAGCATCTGTTGTTTTTTTACTTTTTAATAATAGCCATTCTGGGCTGGGCGCGGTGGCTCAAGCCTGTAATCCCAGCACTTTGGGAGGCCGAGGCGGGTGGATCACGAGGTCAAGAGATCGAGACCATCCTGGTCAACATGGTGAAACCCCGTCTCTACGAAAAATACAAAACATTAGCTGGGCATGGTGGCACGTGCCTGTAATCCCAGCTACTGAGGAGGTTGAGGCAGGAGAATTGCCTGAACCCAGGAGGCAGAGGTTGCGGTGAGCCGAGATTGCGCCATTGCACTCCAGCCTGGGTAACA